AAAGAAAAATATGAAAGTAGAAATCAGAAAAAAAGTACCATTAATCATACAGTCAAAAGGGAACTCATCCATGAAGCTATTTGAGTTTTGTGCTTTGTGAGTGAATAAAAGGGGAAGTCCCCAAAACAACTAATCTAAATCTTATTAAACATACATGTATGTAAGGGCACATTTTTCTCACTTTTTTCAATTGCACAAAAATGAAACAATAAAAGGACACCATTGAAATATACATGTATACTCTGCAGGTGTTACAATCTAGCATGTAATAAATTCTTGATGTTAGAGAGATTTGGCAAATAAGATAGGACTTTGAACTCTGTTCTAGTTTATCCTTAAACAAACAATGATCTTCCCCACAGACACGTGGAATACTTGTTACATTCCTACTATGCATGTTTTCAGTACCGTTAGTTAAGAATATTATTCAATAGAAGGGTCTAAGTATACCAGATCTGAAATAAATCAACAAAATTTTATCTTTAATTTAATGGTACCAATAACTACCGCGCACAGAGATTCTAAACTGCGATCATTGCATTCATGAGCATTCAATTTATTTTTTTCCACATGAAGATCTACTTGTCATATTACATGTACAACCCATCATGTTACAGTACAATACATTTATGAGTAAGGGAAATCGTACTTGTTTATGACGCCGATGAAAAACAATAGTCGTGGCGAAATAGACAAAATATTTCCTGAATCTTGGTTTCCGTAACATATGAGGAAATGACAAAAATTTTGTTTTGTGTTTTGAGGTCTTCTTTCAAAACATGACATAAGGAAATTATTCATACAACAAACCACATCTGATATTGTACTTTTAGTATCAATCAATAATATTGCCCTATGCTACGACTCCCCTACAAGTAATGAGAATCTGAGAAGGGATATATTTTTATAACTACTTGTAAGCACTTCCTGAGGCTGACTTTTTACATCCTACAAAACAAAAACAGATTTTAAAAGCAGTCAGTGTCATGTTCTACTGAATACAAATGAATGCAAAGGCATAGAATGTGACATGGACCATATCATTTTTTTCCCCTACCTGAATGTGTGAATTTATTATTTTCATTATTCAGTCAAACCTGCTTTAGCAACCACCTGTACAGAAAGACCACCTGTCTATACAGACCACATTTTTTTTCTTTTTCTCTTGAATATGGTTTCTCACTGAAAGCTGTACTAAAGGAATCTCTAGATCTGTACAAACATAAAGACCACCTACCAAAACACAACTTTTCAAGTTTCCTTTGAGCGGCCTTTATATACAGGTTTCACTGTATCTGTTTTAAAAGGCCAGATTAGGGGAGATGATAAAATCATGTATAAATTCAAGGATTACCATATTACACTCTCCTTCTTTGACATGTGAATTAATTTTCTGTTGCATAAATTATATCACACACTTGAAGGACAAACAAGCTCAATCCATTGTATTATAACAAGCTGTGATTTTGAGACTGAAAAGTACATGTAGAATTGCAATTCCATGACTTCCCGTAAATATTTCCCCCATCCCCTTTTCCTTTTAAATTAAAAGACTGATAAGGGAATTCAGTGTCCTAGAAATTCAGGTACTATATACATACACAAATTACACATTACCGGTATTTCAATTTTTAAGTACATTGGACACGTACCATATGGCACTTGCAGTTGCTGTGTTCGATTACAGCTATTTTTATTATTGCAGCTACTATGAGTATGCAGTCATGTTCGATTTCATTGAGCCAACCTTGGCCAAACTTGGCATTGACCCAAGGACTACCACAAAAAGGATTTGGTCATATTTCATTCTCCAAGGCAACTTTACTTGTTTTGATTTGCCTTAGTAACGAGCCACATGACAATGTCCACTTCTATATAAAGACCATTTAAAGTACACCATGTATACGTAGATAACTAATTCACATCTATACTTGCATTGACAACCTGTACACATAGACTGTCCCCTCCCCATCCCCCTCCCCCTCCCAATTTGAAAAAAAAAAAAAAAATTGTATAAACAATGTAACAGTAAGTGTGACAATACAAAACTCTCTTCCAAGTATACTAAATACACCAAGTTGGTTACTATCTCCATTTTCAATCCAAATAATCATATACATTGATATTCATAATTGGCTTTCATCGCCAACCTTGATCATTTTACAGAAAACAATCATAATCCCATGCACATGTACTTGAACAAACCAAAGAGTAGATTTGCAGGAGTTCTACATTGTACAATGATATCTAATGGCAAGGCACTACTTTCCTGTACATTAATATCAACAACCAAACAATCACCAGTTTGTAACGATCCACTGAAGTTCTACAAAAATGCTTGATTTCGATAAATTCACGCTTTTTAATGGCAGTTTGTTTTTGAAGACACAGTGGGTATATTGATGAATGTATTGCTCTTTAAAAGAATAATTTATATTTGTATTGAAATAAAAATAATGGTATGAATTATATTTTTTTTTTCATATGTAATACTTTTTTTTCTTCATATGACCACAATCATCAGATTTTGGTCAAACTAAGTACATCTGCTGGTGCACACACTCCTACACACAATATCATCAAGATACATGGACGTTTTTAGATTGTTTTGTAAATGTGTGAGAGTTACTTTGTCAGTACAATATATGCATGAAGATGGCTTGAAGGAAATAAAAATATGGCTGGAACTACTTAGCTGAGCAATTAAAATGAAGAAAAATGTTCAGGTAAACAACTTGTTCCCTTTATATGTTGTCTTTTTACATTTACTTGTTATTTGTTGACTATGCTGTGGAAACAAATCTTGGAGCTGTGTGTGGGTGGGGGTGGGGGTCATACATTTTTACACATTTATCCTTTGTTTACAAAAATATAAACCAACTTTAAAATGAACTTTCTGTAAATGACTTCTATAAATATAACTTCTATAGTCTGTTACGTTTTCAGAAGGAAATTATAAATTTCACAGACATTTACCACCCAGTACATTGTAGGTAACCACAAACTCATTATTCTCTGACAAACAGAATTGCAAGACACTCTAGTTTGGTCCAAACATGAATTATATAGCTACACACTTCAATCAAAATTCAAACAGCTACGGAAATTGGGAAAACATACTCGTCTTGCATTGTTGGTTCATGAGACAAAAAACTCTCCTACAATGACGTACAGCTGGAGAAAAACATCTTCAGCTTATACAATACAGGTAAGTACAACACAGTGCATCTCCTTTGCACATTTATGAAACCTCTCTAATAACCTGTACATGTACATGTAGGTGGTTCATCCAATCTTCCTCAGATCACAACTGTCCGCTTTTCCAAGTGAATAATCAAAAACTTCACTGCTGGAGGGTATTAATTCTCAAGCGTATGTGCGTATCTGAACTTTATGGAAAAAAAAAGCATGAACTGAAGTCTGAAAATTTGTGATAAATAAGCTACACCAAAATCAATCACATCCAACAGGTTAAATAGAACAAGTCTGTTTTCTGTCTCTCTCCTTTCTTTCTAATAATCATTTGAAAGTTTTCAGAGAAAAATAAAGAGAATTGCAGCAACTTGATTAACAAAGCTCCTTTTCTTTTCACTGTTGAATACAAGTACATGAAAACTGGCTCATGTGTTCCAGCATTGAGACAGGATAACACGAACTGTGGCCGGCAACTATCCCTTGCGCTCATGTCTCCCGGTTCAGAACTGCTCCCAGAATGCATTGATGTCAACCTCCTCACATACAACTTCCTGTGGATTTCATATTTTTGTTTCCATAGCAGGATACAAAGACAACCGCCCAGTTGAGATTTCAGAGTTAGTCTACTCTTCTCAAGCTTATGGTGGATGACCTTTGAAAACAAGCAGCTCTATCAAGACCGTTTGGACAGATCCATATAAAAACTAGATGGAATTTTGACTGCGCGCAGTCGAAAATGATGCCTCCGCCATAGAGCAATTTAAACAAGTTTGGAGTTTAAATCTCCAGTGGTTCTTGAGATATCATGATAACAATCTCAATGTATGGAATTTCATAAGTTGACCTCTGTGACCCTTGACCTTTGACCTACGTGCTCCAAAATCTAATCAGATTGTCTTCCTATGGTGATACACACTATCATTAAGTTTGAAGTTTAAATCTCCAGTGGTTCTTGAGATATTATGATAACAATCTCAATGTATGGAATTTCATAAGTTGACCTCTGTGACCCTTGACCTTTGACCTACGTGCTCCAAAATCTACTCAGATCGTCTTCCTATGGTGATACATACTATCCTTAAGTTTGAAGTTTTTACATCTCCAGTGGTTCTTGAGATATCATGATAACAATCTCAATGTATGGAATTTCATAAGTTGACCTCTATGACCCTTGACCTTTGACCTACGTGCTCCAAAATGTAATCAGATTGTTTTCCTATAGTGATACACACTATCACTAAGTTTGAAGTTTAAATCTCCAGTGGTTCTTGAGATATCATGATAACAATCTCAATGTATGGAATTTCATAAGTTGACCTCTGTGACCCTTGACCTTTGACATACGTGCTCCAAAATCTAATCAGATCGTCTTCCTATGGTGATACATACTATCCTTAAGTTTGAAGTTTAAATCTCAAATGGTTCTTGAGATATCGCGCTAACAAACTCAATACAAGGAATTTCATAAGTTGACCTCTGTGACCTGTGACCTTTGACCTACGTACTCCAAAATCTAATCAGATCGTCTTCCTATGGTGATAAATACTATTCCCGAGTCTTAAGTTTAAATCTTAAATGGTTCTTGAGATATTGTGATAACGGTCAAACGGGACGGACGGACGGACGGACGGACGGACGGACGTACGGACGGACGGACGTACGGACGGACGGACGGACGTACGGACGGACAACCCGAAAACATGATGCCTCCGGCACCACCTTCGGTGGCGGAGGCATAAAAAATACTACTTGAATATCGGTCCTCCATCTTCGAACAGCCAGCATTGGGAAGAATTCACTGAGCCTCTGCTGTACTACTTGATCGACTACAAGAACATGATCTCATGTCGTGTGACTCAAAAATATCCTTGCAGCACGCTGTATAAGGTGACAGAGCAGCTAATGAATAAAATCTCCACCTCTTCTTTCCATCAAGATTTATACTTGTGGCCTCAGCAGAAGTTCACTGCAGAACGCATGACTTTGACTTGTCCGTTTGGTGGCTGATCGCTTTGGCAAAACAAATGGCCGACATCCACTCCAACTGGTCGGCTTCATTCTCCGCTTGCAGAAAGAAAGTCCGATTGTAGTTCAGCGGCTGGAGTTTGAACACAAACAGCTTTTGGTCCATGACTGAATCAGTAATGTCTGTTCCATCCAATGGTATGCTCTTGTCCAGTGACTGAAGGATGAAAATAGGAAAGAGAAAATAATTCAAAGTTTGATACTGTATATATTTACTTATTTCCCCCTCTACATCTTAAAATTCTTCTGATTCAAAAACTGGGCCTTCATCATGTTTACCAACACATCGTGATTCCGGAGAGGTTGGTTATCCAGACATGAGTTAACAAGCAATATTTCATAAATCTTTCAAGAATTGTGTTGGACATTAATATAAAGGACAAAAATCATGATGGATTGGGCATTTGGGGGCATTTTTTTTTTTTTGTTAAAAGGCAAAACTAGACCATGAGAAGGCTTTGATTTTGCCCAGTGTCCAGACAAACAACCCCCATCATAACACTTTGATTTGAAAGAGTTTCCCCAAAAAATAAATAGATTTCTAATGAAAACTCACAGGATATTAAAACACAAATAACACTAACAGTCGTATTTGATTAAATTGTCTCTTTAGTAAATTAACATATTTTACACAGTATATAATCAGCCTCACTCTCAGATTCAGTGATTTTGTTTTGTTTAAGCCTCTCTCTCTCCCTCCATTTCTTCTCTTTCTCTCTCTTTGAGTTTGACTTTTGTTTACAAACATTTACAGTTCACTCTCCATCTCGTCATCTGCTTTCTCCCTTTTGCAATCATTTTCCACACTTTGAAAACAGAATAGTTTTTAATTCTAGGTTGCATTCAAAAATTCAATTGGCAATCCTATTCTTTAGTGCGTTTTATTATTTTGGGTTTCTAACTTCAGTTAACAATAACAGCTCTAGACCTACGTGCATAGATCTATCTAGGGTTAGGGTTAGGGTTAGGGTTAGGGTTAGGGTTAGGGTTAGCAACCCAAAATAATAAAACACACACTAAAGTATAGGATAACCAAACAATTATATTTCACTTCCCCCCCCCCCTCCCTCTCTCTCTCTATCTCTCTCTCTCTCTCTCTCTCTCTCTCTCTCTCTCTCTCTCTCTCTCTCTCTCTCTCTCTCTCTCTCTTTACTATGCTACACATTAACCCTATCATGAAGTTAAAGGTGGACCCTATGTTTTGAGTATGCACAAATCACATGATCATTACGACCAATTCATCACCTCTGAGTTGTGTCCGTAAATGAGCTCATCCCTCCTCAGTGCGAACCATCGCTTCTTCCACTTTTTGGACACCCGAGATCTTTTCAATAACCAGCCACATTTTGTGTCATCCAAGTCGTAAATATCATGGCTACTTCTTGTGCTTAAAGTGTTGTTCTTGGAGCCCGATGAATTCGACGAAGAACAGGCAGAAGATCTTTCTGAAGCGTGAGAAGAGCAAGAGCCGTTCCTCCCTGGATTGGCAGCCATAGTTGTTTTGGTTTGATCACTGAACTAATATTGCCGATTAGAAACGTTTGCAAGTCCGAGGTCTCGAGCGGATTTTCTACGGTATCCGTAAAGCGGCTGATTATAGAATCTGTCTATTTTTTTCCTTCCCTTTCCCGTCTTCCATCTCAGTATCAAATTATCGAGTCTCTTTTTTTCCTTCTATTTCATCTTAATTTTATTCTCCCCCCCCCCCTACGTTAAATTGCATCATTATCACCACCACCACCATCATCGTCATCATCTTTCTCAGTAGCAGCAACAACAGCTACATTATAATTTCATCTTCGTGATTTTTCATTATCATCATAATCTTCATCATCATCATCATCATTATCATTCGATCATTTTCACCATCAAACTAGAGTATGTGAAATTCGAGCTAAAGTCCCTTTTTACACTTTCATGCCTCTTCCTTTATTGCTCTCTACATTTTCAGGCTTACATTCTCAAAGGCGCTTCAAATTCTTTCGCCGAGGTGCGGCCCAACATCATAATTATACGCGTAAATTTATTAATTTATTTATGCATGTTCACAATTATTCATTGGAGTTAAACATCACATGACAACAAATATAATATAACAAATCATTTTCAATTTTACAATCCATTTAAATTGACTTCACATGAAAAAGAATGTAACAATTTTTATTAAAAACAAGTTGCAACTATTTTGATGAAATATCCGTATAAGCATTAAATCGTTACAACGCCTTTCAAATATGTAATATATGACAAATAAAATTCCTGACGGTTTGTGAACTATATAGAAAAACTTATTTGGCATCTTCTTCTCAATTTCCTCTACATCTTCTTCTTCTCATTTCCTTTTACTCCTCCTTGATCTCTTCCTTTTCTTCTTCTTTGTTTCTCTTCTTCTTCGTTCTTCTTCTTCTTCTTCGTTCTTCTTCACCTTCTTCTTCCTCTTCTTCTTCATCTTCTCTTCTTCCTCTTTTTCTTCTTCTTCTTCTTGTTCTTTTTCTTCTTCCTTCTCCTTCTCCTCCTCTTCTTCTTCTTCTTCTTCTTCTTCTTCTTCTTCTTCTTCTTCTTCTTCTTTTCCTCCTCCTCCTCCTCCTCTTCTTCTTCTTCTTTTTCTTCTTCCTCCTCCTCCTTCTCCTCCTCTTCTTCTTCTTCTTCTTCTTCTTCTTCTTCTTCTTCTTTTTCTTCTTCTTCCTCCACCCCTTCTCCTCCTCCTCCTCTTCTTCTTCTTTCTTCCTCCTCCTCCTCTTCCTCCTCCTTCTCCTCCTCCTCCTCTTCTTAGTTCTTCTTGCATTGCATAACAATATACTGGCTCGCTATAAGCAAGAGACCCCCCCCCCCGGCATATCTTAGCCTATCGAAGTTTTTATGTTGATATTTATGTCAGTGTTTATACTTTTAAGCACACAAAAAAACACGTCACGAGGAGTCCCTCGATCGGCTGCAAGACATTTGTAATGATATTTTTTTAACCCAAGGAATCCTCATCAGCATTAATGCTGCTCTTCCTGAGTTCCCTGCATTTTTTAATACCCGGAAACCCAATCACACCTGGGTGGAGAGTGCCAAAAGACGTTAGAGTCGGGCTGGAATTCGAACCCCCAACCTTTGGATTGAGAGTCCAGTGAATGAAATTAACCACTATACACCTCCAGTGTGATTATGAATTCATAACTTTCTTATCAATCGTAAGCTTTTATCTTACTTTTACGACTATTTGTATAGGGTTCTTCGCTCTTAATGAGGTCAACTTGATATGATTGTTTGATCCTGACTTTTAAAATGATAATTTTCTTTCAAGTTGTTTGCTTCACACTATGCCTAGCAATTCTTCTCCCTTAAGTTGTATTTTTACATGGAGGCCCACAGTCGGCTGTTGAAATGAAGGTTATAAAGAAATATTTGATCTTTCGGGAATGCATGAATATCATAAAAATATGATTTTGATAAAATATATAATATTCTCAGTGTTAAAAAGTTGGAGCCGCTTCTGTATTGTGCAAAACTGTAATCACGGTTTTAAAAAAACCCACTGCCGGGGCCAAATGGCCGGGGCTTCCTTTAATCATATTTTCGATATTATCGTCATTTCATTTGAAGAAAAAAATGAAGAACTTTTTATATTTTTATCTTTTTCATATACTTGACACATTTCACAAACAATTTGGTATATCTTAAAACATTTTAGGGCAGGGCGACGACGAGGAAAAAAAATCGAACAACAATTAGAAGCAAAACCTATAGGAAGGAAAGTCAACCTCTTTTTAAAATACAAGAATTAAACAAAATAAACCATTGTCTAATTTAGCCTACATTTAAATAAAGCAAAAGGAAACACAAAATCCTGTATCATTATGAAAAATACGGGGGGAAAAGCAATCACTCCCTATGATTTTGCAAATAATTATGTATGATGAGATTTTTGTCCCCCACCCCCACCCAACAAAATTACAACAAATAATTATTCCCCGCCGTCAAGTTGCTCCACATGCCATTATTTCCATAGCATAATTTTCTTTCATACTGATTTGTATTGATTTATATACGTATTGCTTAACGTACTTGGCGATTCGAATTAAAATATAATGACAAAACTTATTGAAATCACCAAACTTTTTTACGATGCCTTGCGATATTAACTCAAATCACTAAAGTGTGTCGACCATGGTCATTCTGCGTTTAGCGCCATCTGCGGTGATAATGAGAACAATATTATTTAGATTGTTTCCCCGAAAAAGTGAAACTTTTCGTAACAGTATTCGGGCCTTAGAAGTGGGCAAATTTGCCCTAAGTTCTACTGACGGAGTGTGGAAATGGCACAGGCTTATGTTGAAGATACGCTGATGGTTCGGCATGAACTGAAACATGGTGAGTATTATCCATTTGCTTAGAAAAGTGTTAAACATGGTCATTTTTCCGGGCTTTATTCACAGTAAACAGGCAGTGGCCATGGCCAATAACATCGGTGCAGACAGTTCGCGCGCTGCATGCACTGCACTGCACTGCACTGTCGACTGTCTGTACCAGGCCTGTTTCGTAATGTGCAGCTTGATCAAGAGAACTGGATCAGGAACAGTTCTTATTATGTTGATACATGTAGAGCCTCGTTATTCGATGGCCCTGGGTATTCAAAACAATGTGAGTCATTGTTGACCTAACACTAAACAGCATCACTTTGTATTGCCTTGGTTATATTTCCTAATTTTTGTGTAGAGGTCTAGACTCTAAGTCTAACTGTTAGAAATCTACCCAGCATTAGACCCCTAGGCAAGTTTCAGAAGATGCTCTGCCCTGGGCCTGGCTGGGGTCTGACCCTGGGCACACATACATTACATGTAAGTTACATGTAGGCTATGTGCATTACTATCCTGGCTGTGTAATAAAAGCTGTGCTATTGATTCTCAACATTTCAAACACCACTGTACAAAACTCAACTGATTTCACTAAAAATCGGTACTTTAGTGACGATTGATGACACCTAAATTTAAATAGACTCTAGCAGTAAAATACAATTTTTTCAAAAAAAAATTCAAATTGTGAGTCCACTGTCAAACTTTTTGATCAGCCGCATCGGCATGATTGTGTTCATCTATGTGTTATAAGTGTATTGACTATTCATGTAAATAATGTATTCAAATGCTGCCTATTAACACGTAGACTAGTGGCAGTGCAGTGCTAGAGGTCAATACGCATTAGCAGTGACTCTCTAGAGGTCTAGGTCTGGTCCCTTGATTGGCAGATGAGATTCAACCCTGCAAAGTGCTCCCTACTCCGTATCACCAAGAAACGTCGCAGTATTGAGACAACATACAGCATGAGAGGGGCTGATCTGCAGCAAGTTGACAATCACCCATACCTTGGCGTGGAATTCTCTTCCAAGATGGACTGGGGTGTACATATCAACAATGTCACAAGCAAAGCCCGGAAATCGCTCAACTTCCTTCAACGGAATCTTTACAAGTGTCCTGAGAAGATCAAGCAGCAGGCTTATACTTCCCTGGTACGGCCAATCTTGGAGTATTCGTGTACAGCATGGGATCCCTACTTCCAGAAACACATTTCAGCCCTTGAATCAGTGCAAAGGAAAGCTGCCCGTTTTGTGAAAGGGAACTATCAGCGTACGGCTAGCGTCAGCCAGATGCTGCAGGAGCTGAAGTGGCCTTCACTTCAAGATAGGAGGACAGTTGCACGTCTTACCATGCTGTTCAAGATCAACTCTCATGAACTCCCGATTACCATCCCAGAGAAGTTTATCCCAGTCGCCAACAACCCCAACAGACCAGTCACCCGTAGTCAGAGACCAAGCCAGTACATCAACTACTCTGCCAGGACCGAAGCATACAAGAACAGCTTCTATCCTCGTACCATTCAGCAATGGAATCGACTACCAGCCACCATCATCAAAGAGTCAACATCGGCCAAGTCCTTCAATACCAAAGTTTGGAGCTACATGTACATGCAGAATGACCACTCAGCCCAGCTGTACACAGGCGGGATAGAGCGTCAATGTGGCTCTACTTCATCTGTAAATTAGATGATGCCTACAACCCACTCATTTTATGAGCACCTTATTATTTTGTTTTTTGAACTTTGCATCAGTTGTGATGTTTGTTGACAGTTTGCGATGCCACGGAAATCTGGACGTATATACCAATTGGTCCTGTCCAGTACCACCTTAGATGTAGATGTAGATGTATGCTTTGCTGGAGTGGCCCTGGGCATCATTCTTCAGTTGTCCCAATGTTTTCAAATTTTTGGTCAAATTATTTATCTTGTCTTGTTTTAAAGTGTTCAAGGATTAATCTTAATGTTTAGAGTAGTGGCTCCGGTCTCCGGCCGATCGGCGGGAACTGCCGATTCTATTTTTATTGGAATACTCACAGAATACTTCTATACCCTCAATAAAGAGTCCATATACTTACTTATTAAATAGAAGTCACAAATAACTTAACTGACCCACAGCGTGGTCAGCATTGACCACGTTTCGAAATGCTTCGAGTTCCCCGGTTTGCGGGCACGCAGTACCGGTTTGCGGCACGCGTACGTCACAAAGCTTTATGCGCTACGTCACGATGAAAGCATGTACCAAATTACTACGGGTAACCCAAATTCTCATGTTTATCTGTTGCTACGGAAAATTTGTCAAGTTTTAAACAATTTCACCTTTTCCTCGAATGGATCATCCCATACGGGGGTACGTACTACTAGAAACTATCGGGTCATAGCGGGTACACACATCAGCACACATTCCATCATACACGATCCCGCATGTTATGTGTGTATTAACACCCCCCGCCGCAAACCAGAAAAAACACGTAATTACGTGCCGGTTTGCGGCTCCCCCATGCAACTGGCCATGCGGTGGCACAATCAAAATATCTGCGATAGGAGACAGACCACAGCCATCATACTTCCACAAAAACATCAAATTTCACCTCCAATCGGACAAATATCGGACAAATAGAGCTACAATATTGATCTAGTCATGCCTCGATCTCTTAACTTAAAAGTTAGCACCTGCTGGAATTTTCATCGGCGACTGGTGCCGTAGATTTCCGACATCGCTGACGGATACTCCGTACCGACAGGAGCACCTGCTACGGACGTTTTCGGCAAAGCAGAACTTACCGTGGAATCCACGGTAGGTTTCAACGATTATTATCGAGTCATATTCATTTTATTTTTAAAACAAATACCCCTGGCCGCAAACCGGGCGATGCCGCAAACCGGAGACTCTACTCTATAACATCGGCATTACACAGTGACTGAAAATGGAATGAAAGATCTGTTGTGTGATGTGATTCCAATCTTTCTAGATCAAGGACCCTAGTAAAGAGGTACATGTAGTTAATGAGGTCACAAAATACTCATTGAAAAAACTTAAGAAATACAGTTAACTCTGCATAACTCAAAGTCGCTCAAGTTAAATTAAATCAATATTTTTTACCAAACAATGTAAAATAAGTGTTATTTATACTTCCCACATGCAAGTCAAATTTCTCATTTTAATCGATTTGTCTATGTTTTTTGCAGTCCCAGCAGATTCGACTTATGCAGAGATAACTGTATTGTCAGGGAGATGTGGTGAAATGCACTCATAACTTTCTAAAGATCCATAATAATAAGATACAATGCATTAATCAAGAGCTCTCTACTTATTTACTTGGTATACATTTTGTAACATCACACATAATATACATGTACCTTAGCAGAAGCACCGGTTGGAAATTAATTATATTTATATGTAGTGCTTCAACTTATTTTATACAAATTAATGATTTTATTATCCCTTGTCCAGGTTATCTCAAACTTCAACTTTTCAACAAATTGACTTTTGTTTCTTTTATTATTATTTTATTTCTCCTGTTAAGGCCATTGTTGTAAGAAGTGTTCAATCCCCTTTAATCCAGTGCTCAATCCTGATATTTTAATGTAACCTTTTAGATTCTGACTTACAGTATCTCATAACCAGCCATTATGCCTTTTGGCTTCAGAGTATCTTTTTTGGTATTTGTCTGTTCCGTGCTTTTATTCTTGCCATAAGCAGAACTCAAACAAAGAAATGCCTTTCCGTCCTCTACAAACGCAGGACAAGTTCATGGAAAATATATTTGAACAATGTATTTTGTGAAAAAATGAGGGGGAAATGTACAGGGTCTTCTGAAGACCACAATGTTGACAATTCCAAGAGTAAACAAATAATTTTAATGAATGTGTTCACACTAGTTCATATTTCCTGTGGTTTACCTCGTGATTGGATGTATCTTTCCTTTGTTCTATGAAGTAGGTGACATCTTTTGGAGCATAACTCTGCATTTAATGCACCTCAATAGTTTTGTTTGCTCTATGAGGACAGAAATTCATGGAACCAGAACCAGAATGAAGTTGCATGAAAAGACGTGTCCGGAACACAAAAGGCATAACAGTTTGGTCTATTTGCTTATTAGAATTTCTTTTTTAAAGGGAAAGTCCACCCCCCAAATAAGTTTGTTTCGATAGAGGCAGAATAATAAGAAAATCAGGTGAGTGAAAGTTTGAGCAAATTCTGAATGAAAATAAGAAAGTTATGAATTATTGAAGTTGTGATCAATCAAATACAAATTGGCAACTCTGTGACTTATTATACAAGCTCTCCTTCATTTACTTTGTTGTGCATAATATTCCATAAAATCATGTTTTCTTCGTTATTGATGACAGAATATATATTTGTTCCTTGCAGGGGGAGTATAGAAACATATTTGCAATTATTATATTTAGGGTGCATGTATGGTTGAAATTTTTCTTGAGGGAAAATGAAAATTTTAGATTTTTTTAGTACCGAGCAAATGGAAGTTGAGCTCGCATGATACGTCGTAGAGTTGCCAATTTGTGTTTGATTGATCACAACTTCGAAAATCCTAACTTCCTTATTTTTAATCGGAATTTGCTCAAACTTTCACTGACTTGTTTCTCTAATTTTTCTACTCATATTAAAACTAACTTAATTTCAGGGTGGACTTCCCCTTTAAGATATCTGAACCTAACTGAGATATTAAATGTAATACCAGCTCCACATCTTAACGAAGGGGGTCTACATGTACATCGCCTGCATCATAAAATGATGGTTAAAAAAATCATGCATTTTGCGTTCCGGACACAAACTTTTCATGCCAGTACATTTCGTTGAGCTACCTAAAACCCTTGAGCATCCTCAAACAAATGAACGAACAAACAAAGAAAAATAACTTTTATTCCTGCCTTGAGTTAGAACTGAACTTCAGAATACCCGAGACTACCGTAGTTTGTATTACATGTAGATCCTTGGTACTACAGTAATCTTTTTGTACATTTAAACACACAACCAATTGGACAGCCAGGATATTTGTCAA